CAGAATTTGGGCAAGAAGGTACGTACTTGTACCCTCCTACAACTTTAGAACAGTTTTCAAGAGAACAGTAAAGAGAAGCAATGGAAATTTTATCTGTTGGTTGGCCAACTTGGAGACTGGAAATTTCCCTCATTGACATATAACAGAAAAATAATCACCACCACAACGTAACAGCTACCAAAAATTCTGGAGTACAAGGAAATAGGACACCATCTGAAGAGTCTAAGGAAAAGCGGGTATCTGAAAATGATTATAGGAAAATAGGAAAACTTTAGAAAATGTCTGTTTGTGATCTTAATAGGTGTGAGAACATATGGTATCTATCAAAGAGTGACCTATATGGTAAGGATGTAAGGAAACTAAAAATTTAACTGCAAAATTTAACATGCAATGAAGAAAGCAAAATTGCCTCTGGTGATAACCACATCAGTAATCTGTAAGATGAGTGAGTTTTTGTAGGGAACCTTAAACTCTCCATGGATAGTTGGTGCTCATAGCTCAATTTCTTTTTTTTTTTTTTAGGCGGAGTCTTGCTCTGTTGCCCAGGCTGCAGTGCAGTGGCCGGATCTCGGCTCACTGCAAGCTCCGCCTCCTGGGCTCACACCATTCTCCTGCCTCAGCCTCCTGAGTAGCTGGGACTACAGGCGCCCGCCACCATGCCCGCCTAATTTTTTTGTATTTTTGGTAGAGACGGGGTTTCACCGTGTTAGCCTGAATGGTCTGGATCTCCTGACCTCGTGATCCGCCTGCCTTGGCCTCCCAAAGTGCTGGGATTACAGGCGTGAGCCACCGTGCCCTGCCAGCTCAGATTTCTTAAAGCATAATTTGCTTACCTCCATTAGCCCTTACCTCACCGTGCTGCACTGTAACTGTATTTAGTGTGTCCCTGCCCCTAGACTGTGAGCTCCTTTAGGGAAGATCCATGACTTATCCAACTTTATCACCAGCGACTAGCATGATCTCCAACCAGTGAGTCCACATTAAGTACTTCATGACATGTATGAAGTGAGACCTCACAGTCAGCATGGCTTTCTTTCTTTTCTTTTTTTTCTAAAGAGACAAGGTCTCGGCCAGGCGCGGTGGCTCACGCCTGTAATTCCAGCACTTTGGGAGGCCGAGGTGGGCGGATCACGAGGTCAGGAGATTGAGATCATCCTGGCTAACACGGTAAAACCCAGTCTCTACTAAAAATACAAAAAATTAGCCAGGTGTGGCGGGACACACCTGTAATCCTAGCTGCTCCGGAGGCTGAGGCAGGAGAATCGCCTGAACTCGGGAGGCGCAGGTAGCAGTGAGCTGAGAACGCGCCACTGCACTCCAGCCTTGGTGACAGAGCGAGACTCCATTCTGGGGAAAAAAAAAAAAAAAAAAAAAAAAAAAAAAAAAAAAAAAAAAAAAAAAAGAGGAGCCAGATTCCTTCCACTCTTAATGTATGCACGAGAGGCCCTAACTTCTGGTAACGTGGGACTCCTGGCGAAAAAGAGAGGAGGCACCACAGACTCCATTCTGGGGGG